AAACGAATATAAGAAACTATAAAASAGTTTCTTATCGCGAAACCGAAATTTTTCTTATACGGCGTACAACACTGACTCTACATACGCGTTTGATTTGAATTTAATTTGCGCCCGGTCACTGACTCTACTACGCGATAAAAAAATGTTACTTTAATTACTTGTACAAACACTGACTCTACAACTATTTCAAAGACTGCATTGCACGCAGTCAATGCAAACAAAAATTTCACTCCCGATACGCGGTCACTTCACTGATGCACTTCACTGACTCTACCTCGCGAACAGTCTGTACGACTGTTTTACAATTAAAAAACTGTAACTTTATACGAACAAACTCTAATGCAATTAACTGCATTGCTCGCAGTTAAAAAATCAAACACTAACACTTCCTCACCCTTTTGAAAAGAGAGAAAAGAACAAAACGATTAGTATCATTGTTACCTTTTAAAAATTACAAGTAATTAATAAAGAAATGTTTAATAGAAAAATGAATTTACCTTTAATCTTCAGTGATGAATGCCTRATGGGTCTCCTACCCTTAGGATGACGATGGCACACGTATAAACCAAATAAAAGAAACTTTCGGAGTTTCTTTACCCGAAAAAACGAAACTTTTACATACGGCGAACAACACTGACTCTAATTTCCGATTTTTCTTTAACGATGCAAACACTCGAGTACCTCATTGCCTACGCGCTCGATTGCAATGATGTTCTGAAACAGAAAATAAAAAAGAATGATTAATATCGCCGTCGTAATCAAAAACTATTGAAAATATCGTAGAAAATGTTTGATAGAAAAATTCTACTTACTTGTAGTCTCCAGCGATGAATGCCCGATGGGTTTCCTACCCTTAGGATGACGATGACCAGTAGACGATAACGAAAATAAAAAACTATAATAAAGTTTTTTATCGCGACCGCGAAAGCGAACGCGAACGCGACCGGGATGTGCTTACCGACCGCACTACACATCAAAAACGTCTGAAAGAATGCACAAGATTAGTGTTCCTATAAAATAAATCGAGTATTTTAATGTGGGATATAATATGAATGTAGTATTAAAATGAAAACAATGAAACGATATTGTAATATGATATTAATTAGGAAAATGAAAGAAACTAATTATCATTATAATGTTTATGGTAAGCGGTCTTTGGCTAGA